GCCTCAGGGTCATAACTGTAAGTAAAGGAAAGCTGTGATATCTTTGTCTGTCTCATATTTTTCCCAGATTCCTTGTGTGACACATACCTTGAAGGGCAGTAATGTGGACTCAATGGAATAACCCAACTGCAGGCACTCTTCAGTATCCAGATGAATTATTTCTCTTTTCCCATATTTAGACTGGATCTTTTTGTTCTTAATGAGCACAAATGTGACATCAATGGCTCACATGCCTACATCTGTTGTCTTCTGGGATACTGACCCCAGAGACATGGCTTAATACACAGCCTTAAAGTATGCTGTAAAATCTATAAGGTTTTACCCAACAGTGCTGTATTAACTGCATGTATTTTCTGTGGAAACTGTGGTCTCTGTGCCTGCCTTTGCTAGCAATCAGACAGAGCATCTTTAGATACATCATTAACAAGAGACCAGGAATAAGCTCTATGCTGGTGAATGAAGCCTTTCAAGTCAAGCTCTTGCTCCTTAGATACTGTTGACACAGGAGTGCCAGGCTTGCAATGTGCAAGTAGGAGTTTGCACAGTGGTTGGTCTGATGTGATGCACTGATTCCTCTGGGATTGTCTCTGGACTTGCTTCTAGCAAGTGGTGCCGACTCTCACCCACCAGCTGGCCTGATGCTGCTTTTGGATTCTCCTTGCCTTATCAGGAGCACATGAAGCCTCATAGCAGACCAGGTTCCAAGTCATCCCTGGAAAAGCAGAGCTTTGAAATTTGAAAATTTTTGATTGGAGGAGTCAGTGCAACACTTACATGTGCAGTTACAGAGAGCAGAGTAATGACTTGGAAAGATTTTGGATTTCATGTGAATGTGGACAGACAGAAAACTAGGAAATGGTTTTTCCACTGCCTTGCTTTTGGTGTAGGAAGTTGCACTTTTGAAAGTGTGGATCTAAATAGTTGCAAAATTAAACCATACAAAAAAATGTATGGTTTTATGCATTTTACTCATACTGTGATTGTGTAAATAAAACCCTAGGGGCACAGTAGAAGGAAATCAGGCCATTTTATGCTGTTGACTACCTAATTTAATCACTGTTCAACCCAAATTCAGAATAACGGGGTTTGGAAAACAAAAACCAAACCAACTTTATTATGATGAAGTAATGAACTTAAATCACTAGACATAGGTGAGGCTTCTGTAGATCAGATATCAAATCTAATATTATCACAAATGCCACCTAGTATTAGCAACACTTTCCAGGGTTCAGGAACACTGGAAGGGATTTTTTTTACTTAAACCATTGCAGCTTGAAAACTGATTTTCTAGCCTTCTGCCAGTAGAAGTCAGAATAAGGTTTAGAATATGATTAGTCCAAAATATAAATGTTTGATATTGCTTGGTGGTTTCTTATGTTGTTGTTTTGTTATGATTTTTTTCATTTGTTTGTTTGTGGTTTTTCATTTTGTTTTTGGAGGTTTGTGGGTTTTTCTGGAGTGAGGTATTGGGTGGTTTTTTCCTATAATTACTTTTTGAGAATAACTTATTTATATGTTTGTCTGTTAAGAGCTGGTGATAGCTCTGTTAGTTTGGATTAGACTGTGAGTACTGTCAGCTGAAATAAATCTGGCATTCATATTCTCCTCACAGAGCCTCAAGTTTTGCTCTATCAACACTTTTCTTAAGTTCACTGCATTAAGGATTCAATATGACAAGTGTGCACCTGGAGGCAAAGCCCACTGCCTTCACTCCCCTCTTTCCCTGAAACCCCAAGTCTTTAATTTTCCTTTGTTCAGGATAAAATGATATGTAAAGTATGTGTTGCCATGGATGCAAAACTGAGAGCCTATTGATCCTCCCCTTTTCCAGGTAGATTTCAAGCAGAATATGTAACATCAGAGGGTAGTATGGCATGGATGCCAAGACAGAGACAGATTGGGGAAGGGAGAAACTACTTTAAAATTGAAGTTCCCATGGCTCAAAAGTGTCTTGTTGAAATAAAACAACTCTTTTGACCCCTGGGGAAATTGCTGGACTTTTTCTCCATGTGCTCAGCAGCATTCCTCTGCCAGCACTGCCTCCCCCCCTCCATGTGCTTCCCACCATGCAAATGACATGGTTCATTCCCATTTCCCACCCAAACCCACTCAGATTTGAGCTGTGTCCCAGATAAGATATTTGTTGTGTATGCCACAGATTATGGAACAATGGTATTTTAAATGCCATGCTAGAGTGCTGTGAAGATGAATGTCTGAGAGTGCTGCGGAATAGCCCAGCTGGGTCAAGCTACCTCTCCACCTAGGGCAGGCAGGTAGGGAGAGTGGAACACACTGCCAGTTATGGCTCAGGGACTTCTGGAGATGACACCTCAGCCACTGTGTTCTTCTCTTGCAGCAGATGAGACCATGCACCTGGTTTTCGTGAACAGCACATGGGGTAGTGTTGAGCTGCTGCAAGAGGCAGTCATCTCATAAGAGTGCTACAGTGCCAGAGAGGGACACAGTCGGGGTGTGGTATAAATAAATCCATTTCAAAAGTGGTTTACAATGTTTCTCCAAGTTAATTTCAACCTTATTTTTTATACCTATTGTATTTCCCATGGCTTTATACCCTTTCCTTTCAACAGCAGCATACTTAACAGAACACCAATTTTCCATTGCAATTATGTTGGACTGTGACCTCCACAGAACTCCATCAAAACTGTTTTATTTAATTTTGTCTAAAGAGTGTAGCATTGCCTCCATAGAGTTGCACCAAAATTGACTTATTTTGCTTCAGATTATTTTTTCCCCCACAGGATTGCATTATTACAGCTCGAGCTTGTTCCTCATTGCTGTAACCAGACACTTTATTCCAACCTGGGTTATGTGTTAAATGCCTTTTTAGGAGATTTTATATTTTTCATTGTGGGGTGAGCTCTGCGTACCTGTGGGCAGAGCCCTGCTCAGCAGGGCGTGGCTCACAGTGCAGGGGGCCAGAGGAGCTGCAGTTGGGTAAGCACAAAGCTGAAATTAGCTTCTCCTTTGGGTAGCTCGATGTCTCTGTTACTGGGGCAGGGGAAAGGTGAGGGCATCTGCAGAAGCAGCGGGGACCATTGTTTCCCTTGTTTCCAACAATCTCTCCGTTGAAGGGCCCTTGCTCCTTTGTCATTCATAAGAGCTACTGCAGCAGAAAGGCACTTTTTTTTTTTCTAACTGAAACGGGCTTTAATAAAGCTATTGTATTTGATCGCTGGTTAAGGAAGCAATAATTTAGCATAATAAAAAAAGATCATTAATGTTCAATGAACCTAACATTCTGCTCCAGTTTTTGTTGCCCTAGAGAGATGGAGTAAACTCTTCTTCCTTAATTGAAGACTAAATAGAGTACATTTCATTTTTCATTTCCAGCACTTTTTCCAATAGGCTTGTGATGTTCACTAATGTGTGCTGAAAGGGCTGGACTGCCTACAAGCAGCAGAGAAATTGGGTGGGAGGGTTTAGAGCACATAAAAACTTGCTTGTTCCTCATCAGACAGCTCTCTAGGGCCTTTGACTTCTTTCTTGACAAGCCTCATTTCTAAAGCCCCTAAGGACCGTGCCAAGGAGATGTGGTAGTCCATTACATTATAAAATAGAGAGGAACAGAAGACAACGCTCATGTCCCTAAATGTCCCACAGCCAGCCCTCCATCGGATAGCTACATCAGGGAGAGACACTGTTAAAATTTGGGTTTGGATGGCATTTTGACTGCAAATGCAATTTTGTATGAAAGCAAGCTGATAAATTCTTACAGGCATAAGGTTTGCATCACTGCAGCTCTGGATTCAAATGCCAAGACCCACTCCCATGAAAACACAGCCATTGTACTTTGCACTGGTGAAAGCTTAGGGCCACCTCCATCTCCATGGATCACTTCAAACACTTATCACCATCATTTGCAGTCACCTGTACCCATCTATCCTTCCAGAGCCATAGCACAGCTCCTGTCCTGAGCACTCCCCTCACATGGGTTGGAATGTGCCTCTGCATCCAATACTTCATCCGGCCATGTGTAAGACAAGGAGGTGAAGCACATGGCAAACACTGCCGTTTCAGCTCTGCCCAAGCGGCTTGCTCATGATCTGCAGGCAAAAGGTGAGCTGCTTGCAGCCTAAGCGCTGGGCCAGCTGGACCTGACTGACTTAAATGCCTGAGCTCAGCTGTCATGAAACAAGCAACTCCAGAGAAAAGCTGTGGCACAGCTAATAGCATCCCTGTAGCCTTCGTTTAGTGCAGTAAAAGAGGGCACCGCCAAGGACCATTTTTCCCCTAGAGTCTTGCTTGATGGATTTTGCAATTGGAGAATGCACCATCCTCATTCCCTGCTGTGCAAGAGCAAAATTAGAGGACACAATGATCAGCGACAAGAAGCAAACTGAAGCAAACTGGGTAGCAGTGCTGCAGCAGGAACTTACCCTAAATAAATAATAAAGGACTTCCAGTGCACGTTGTTACACTGCCTGATGTTCAGGCCAGACATCGTTGATAAAAACCACGCGAATTGCAGTGATAATTAACAAGATTAACGATAATCGCTTGTTCTGGAGCCACAGCGAGTCCCTGGTGATGCACAGCGGAATCGCTGTCACCGAGGGATCTCTGCATGGGCGCGAGTGGGTGTTCGTGCGGGCATCGCAGGACGCCAAGTGCTTGGGCCCGCGGAGCGCACGTTTAGAGGGTGTCTGACTCCTCCAGGCCGAGGACCAGCAACAACCCAAACCCACCGAGCCGCCCGCGCGGCATCGCCGGTTTAAGGCTCCGGAGGGCCCGGCCCGGCCCGGGGGCGGAGCGGGACGGGGAGCGCCGGCGGGGGTGCGGCGTGGGACCGTCGGGCGGGGGAAGCCTCGGCGGTGGCGACAGTGGGGCATCGCGGGCGGTGACTGTGGCGAGGGGACACTGATCAGGCATTTCCTCAGCTGCCCAAATTAGCCGGGAAGTGACCCGCGGTCGCGCAGAGCCGCGCGCTCCGTGGGCAGGCACAGGTGCCGTGCGGGGGAAGAACGGATGGGGACGACAGGAAGACAAGGGCAGGGATGGTCTAAGGCAAAACACTGCCGTGTGAGTAGGGGTAGATGTCACCAGTCCAGGGCAATGGTTGCTTTCCGTGAGGGAAGCAGCTGGGAGCTCCTGGCGTAAGTTATAATTGTGCACGTGGCTCTTGATAATCACCGAAGTGTGGGTTTCCTTGATGTCTGTGCCACCCAGCCGGCCTCTCCTGAACAGCTCCAGCCTCCTGCCATGTCACTCCAGGAGGTGGCTGAGCCTGCAGTCCTGCTCTGTCAGGTGGCAGCTTGAGGGCTGTTCCAGGAACCTGCCCGTGCAAGATGCCCTCGTAACCCTGGTAGGTTTCATTGTATATTTCGTAGGTTTCATCGTATATTTCCCAACAAGTTGCTTGATGGCTGCATTAGTGAAAGTCCAATAAAAGGGCAAAGCAATGGGAGGCTTTTAAACTATTAAACTAGACAGGGGCAGGAAGGATACTCAGAAGAAGCATCAGGAATTGGAAGTTTATTACTCAGTTGACAGCTACATTATTCATTAACAGACAAAACTATCTTTGCAAAAAAGGTGGCACTCCCTGTGTTCCCCCATGTTCCTTCACTGCTGGATGCTTTAGGAAGCTCCTCTCCTACTTTGGTGCTGGTGAGAGAGGGGAGTGGAGTGCTTCAGGGGGGTCTGTCAGCAAAATATCAGTCCTCTGGCCTTCAAGTTGCTTCCAACCATAACAGAAAGGCTGGTGCCATGTGACGACTACCATGGGTAGTGCATGTAGCATAAGTGTTGTCTCATCTGGCAGTGTTAGCAAAAAGGCTAATGATGAGGGTTTTTTCCCAACTGCTAGATGGTGGGAAAAACATATGATTTAGCATATTTTATATGTAAAGTAGGGATTTCCATAGGATTTATAAAAACAGCTCCTGTTTTGTGCCCAGGGTTTGTTGTGATTGCAGCTGAAATTGGGCATATTAAAGTTGTTCTGAGAAATAAGACCTATTATCTGGGGGTATAGAAGAAATCTAACTTCAAGTCTTCATCTAGGAAGTAGGCTGTGTTTTTTCTTTAATGCTTAGTTGCTCCTGAAGATCAAGGCTTTTCTTTTTTCTAAGGGAAGTGTCACACCACAGACCCATTCATACAAGCAAGATTGCTACATAACTGTGTTCTTCTTTGTCCTTGTCTGTCTTTAGCATTAAGCAAACCAAGAACTCCAGAAAATCAGGGAGAAACATGGCTAGCTGAGTTGGGGTTTTTTTGGAGGAGGCAAGAGTCCCTTGTTATATTTTGTGCTTTGGTTCAAGCTGCTATTAAAAGAATTTACTGATGCTTGAGCCCTTGTGACAACCTCACCTTCTCAAGGTCTTTTCTGGAGTCTAGTTTGGAGCAAAGTGATCTCTGAGGAGCTTGGTGTTGCAGTGAGATTACTGACAGTCCTCTCTGTCATGGCGTGCCCCCTCCTCCACCCCAGCTCCCTGGAAGTTGTGCATAACCTGCCTTTAGTCCATGCTGACTCTCACTTAGATCATAATGTACACAGGTTAAATTAATTGAATGCTACTGATTTATATATACCCACATATAATCATTATGCTCCCATCTCCATTAGTGAAAAGATTAATACATGCTAGCTAAAGCTTTTATTTCCGTGGAGAACAATTTTTCTTGAAATAAGTTAGCAAGTGTGTGTTCATCATTGTCGTGCTGACACCCTCCCAGGTACTTGGTTCCTTGCTGTACCATCTGTGTGAGGTGGGCTATGGCTGAGGACAGCCAGGTAAAGTTGTTATGAGTTAGAAATGCTCTGTGGGAAAGCATCAACATCTATGAGTTGGTAGGCTTCCTGCTGTGTGAAGAGAGGGTGGGTCAAGTAAAGGCCAAATAAGATGGATTAGTGTTTGTGCATAATTCACATTGTTGGCTTTGTCCAGGCTGGAAGGGCTTTAATGGCTAAGATTTTTTTAGCTCTGAGATAGATCACATTGTCTACAGTGTGTGTTTAAGCCTAAAGGACTTGCCTCCTGTCCCTGCAGAGAAGTGCCCCTGCATGTTGCCATTGTGCTCACTTATTACGTTTATGACTGCTTACTTTAGAAAGAACAGTAATGCAAACCAGTTGGGACAGTATTTCATCTTGCAGAAGAGCCATATAGCAAGGGAAAACAAAAGTGCAGTGGGTGCCCCCACGCTGCTCAGTGGTCAAAGCTGCGGAGCTGCCGAAGTGGAACCAGGTTGTGGCTGAAACTGGAGTCAGGTGGAACTTATACACATATCTCTGGATTTCATGTTCAGTGTCTGCAGTGTCTCTTGAAAAAGGGAAAAATGTTCTTGTTTTCCACCTGTATCAGTCAGTTCAGGGGGATGTTAATGGACTATCGGGATGCTTCCTGACTTGTTTAAGTCATTCTGCCTTCCATCTTGAGTATTACCAGTCTCTCAGGTCACTTGACACTGATGCTGCTTGCTTTCTGGAAGCAATCCTGCCAGCGTAGTATCTGTTATAAGGTTATGGTTTCTTTTGCTTGGCAACTTGGGGCACCTGTGTGAAAACATTGTGGCTTTTGATTTTTATCTCTTGCTGCTGTTTATGCTTGTTATGTCACAAGCTGATTGCTCAAGTGATAATTGTGCTGTCCAAAGTGGAGGATGCAGTACCTAGGAAGTCTAGTGATTGGCACTCCAGAAGCATCATGAGACTTAGAGCGAGAAAGACGGGTAAGGAGCAGAGGAAATTCATTCATTTCCATGCACCAGAATCCAAATATATGTGAAATAGGATTTCATTTTGTTTTGTGACTGTCTGGTAAATGATATTTAGAAGGGCTCTTCAGCAGTGGGATGAGTACTGTGAAGTCAAAGAATCTTGAAATAGTGGTAATTGGTGGGATGGCAAGGAATTTTGTTAGGGTCAATCAAGGTGCATCTAAAAATCCCCATATTGTTGGTTGTGTTGTTGGAAGCGATTAGTGCCCTTTGGAGGTGATCTCCTTTCCCACCTCTCATTGTCTCCAGTAGTACAGTTAGTTTAACCTGGTCTTTGCCCCACACTCACATTGGAAGGCTTCTGCATTAGCATTGACCACCCTCATTAGTGCTGTGACATGTTCCTGGAAGGGTTGAAACCATGATTAGGTAGGATATCTACACCACTTCTTTTTTTCCATTGTGAGTGGAGGTAAGAACCCAAAGTGCCTGATAGCAGATGATGCCTGTTTGGTGTAGCAACCTCTTGTTCCTGGTGAGCCATGGTGGAAGGTGGTATCAGGATAAAGCAAAAATAGCAGCAACTTGATGTAAAAATCCAGTAGTCTTGTTAATAAGTGGTCTGGATTACTGGGCAGAAACACAAAGAGGAGCTCCAGCATTCTTCCTGCTTTTCACTGTGTGAACAAGAGGGAGTTTGTCAAGAGTGATATCTGTGAAGGGCTAGATTTGGCAAAGAGCCTTAGTCTCATATCTCCTAGCTTTGAAGTTATCAGGCAACTACTGTAATATCAACTACTCTTCTATTTAGGGCCTAGGCTTCCCCTGTTATATGTGAGAACAGTTACTGAGAAGATAACTGAGAAGGCTTCCATGCCAAGGAGAACACCTGGTTCATATTGGAATATACAACAATGAATCTCCTTTTTCTGTATTCTGTCTAATTATTTATGCATAGACGAGGAGATACTGAGTCCTGCCCCAGAGGGGCCAGCAGACCAAGAGCTGGATCACTTCCCTTGAGAGGACCTGGCTTCAGGTCTGTCAAGCAGAGAGCATCTGAGCCTGACCTTTGTTGGAAGGGTGCTGGCTATGCAAAACAAGGGGATTGTGAAAGCATTACTTCATTTTGTTTTACATGTGGTCTGCCTGTGGCAAAGGCAAAAGAATGGTTTGGTGGATGAATTAGATGGGAAACAATGTGCAAGGCTGCTGCCAAGCCTTTTGGTCTCTGAGACTTAGGCAGTCTCCTCCCTGCTAGAGAAGGGAAAAAGAGTATCTAGAGCATTTTGTTGGTAGACACTGAAGTGTCTTTGGGATTAGGTGGGAGGTTGAGAATTGACGTTTTGGAAGTCAGCATTTGAATCAAGGTTTAGTTATCTAAGCCTCCCTCTAGCAAAGTGTCAGGACATTTTTCGAATTCTGTTCTGTTAAATACTGTAGATGAAATCAGAAAATGCTCCTGAATAAGCTTTGATTAGACTTTGCCTCAACTGTTTCATTTGTCAACAAGCTGCTGCCTCTCAAGTAAGAGTAACAGTTTTTTGCAGGGAGTTGCTGAAGCGAATTAAACAAATATTTCAGGTATTCGTTAAGTGCCTCACACTTCACATTTTCTCTCCTGAAGATTGAATCCTTGATTGCTTCCTTAATTAGTACTTTTAAAATCTCTATTCCCATTTATAAATAAATCAAAATAGATATTCAGAGTATTAATTCATCAGGCACTCAATGTGTGTGCTAGAAAAGCAAATTTAACACCTGTGCCTGCAAAGAGTGAGTGCCCCCCACAAGCTCCTGAGCCACTGACTTTGGCGGTGCAGCATCCAGGAACATTTCTCACAGCCTGACTTCATTAACAAGGATGCAAAAAAGCCATGAGAAAAATGAATTGCCTGTGCAATTACATTTAATTTTCTTTCTAGAAGGTTTCCCAGTTCACTTGGCAGCTATTCTTTCTTCCTTTTTTTTTTTTTTTCTTTTGCCAATTCATGCTTGCTTTCATTTTTTTCCCATTCTTTCTTGGTCCTTTTGACTGAACAAAAGCAGTCCCACAAGGGCAGGCTAATGTATTCATAGTTTTGCTGCAACTTGGCTGATAGAATAAGCTGAAAAATTGCCGCCTCCCATTGTTTACTGAGAATCTTTGTTGTGCTTTGTAGAGTTGAAATGAGTGCTGTCTCGTGCCCTCTGCTCCCCATCCTTACAGAACAGAGCCTGTTGTGTGGAACCTGTTCAGGCTGGAGATGGTGGAAAGGCTAAAGTTCAAGTTCACAGACCCAAAAGTAAGTTACAGAAGTGATTGCTTGTTTGAGCATTTGCTTGCTTGCTGTTGCCTTTCATTCTCCTTGATCTAAGTTCAGTGTATTGTTAATGCCTGTATGAACATTGCATTAAACTCTAATTAAGCCTGCCAATCAAAAAACCAGAGAAAGCAGGCTTCTAATGTGCTTAGTATTAAGTCGTATTTTCACCCTCAGTTTCTGACTATGAACATTTAACTGTTATGTGAGGGTTTGCTGTTGTTTCGTGTTTTATTTGTTTGTTTTTCTCTGAACTGCAGACAAATACTTAATGAATTTTTACCCCAGCGTTTACTTTAATGGCTAGATTTTGTTATGGAATGGCTTTGGGCAATTATCACATGAAAGGTCCAGACTTTACCAGGCTGTAGCTAAGGTCACACTGGAGCATCATAGAGAACTCAAAGCTGTTCTTAGCTTTTCATGCAGTGTCAGAGAATGTGATCGGGAGGGGTGAATACAACAAATCATTCTGTAAGGTCTTTTTGTAAATAGGAGAGAAGGTACAACATCTGGAGTACTGGATCCTCTATCTGACATTGGAGCAAGAGCCACCAATGGTTACAGCTAGTGTAAATCCTAATTTATTAACTAAAATCCAAAAGTGGAAGTATCAACTGATGTGGCTTTGGGCCTTCCACTGAGGCATCAAGAGAGAGAAAGCTGCAGGGCAAAGCCACCGTCTAGTAGTACCATTTTATAAACAGCCCTAAAAGAAGAGAGATAGCTTCTAATCCGCAACATATTTGCAAAATAAAGCATATTGGTAGGCTTGAGATTACAGTATTTGGTACAAGATTTTCATGATTGTAAGGAAAAACAAATAGGGATCACACATTACAAAAAAGTCCCAAACCTCAAAGTCAGTAATACTCTTCTCTTCAGGAAGACACCAGAAGCTTAGCTGCCTTCTTTTGATATGAATTGAACAGGATAAAATAATAGCATAATCCAGAGACTAGAGTGACTAGAAGTTACCCCAACAGGTCTTTCCCATCTCTAACCCTCACCGTCTGTTTTCCTTTGGAGCCCAGTGGGGGTTTCTGCCCTTCGGAGCTGCTGCGTTGCACACTTTAGTGTTTGTGAAGTTTGCATCAAGTGTGGAAGTTATGTAGCAGTGGCAAGCCAAAGCTAGGCATATGAAAGGTCATGGAGGAAAGTTGTATCTGAAGACATGCTGCTCCCAGATAGGTCATCCTGGCTTATAAGACATCTCAGACTAATTAAACTTTAATACTATGGTTAGGGAAGGCTGACAGCTCTGGTCTAGGCCATTTCTCAATGTGCTTTTGTGCCTGCCCCATTTTTTTCACCTTCCTTCCCCTGCTGTAATCCTTATGGAACATCTGCCCTAGCCAGGAACAAATGGCAGCTTGTTCTCTGGGTGCCACGTCCTTGTCGGTACGCTCAGGTCCTGAGATCCTTCCACTCTTTGTTCCTCTAGCACTTTACGCCCGCCCCCAACTCCCTAAGACTTGATTAATCCAAACGCTGAAATCCCGCAGGTGGCTGTAGTTATTTTTAGCATTAATGTTAGAGCTCTGCAAAGGGTAGATGAAAATTTATGCTTTTGTCTCCTACGAGTCTCACAGCTTCTCCTTTCTCTGCTACAACTTGGATGGATTCCAACATCCCCCCAAATACTCAAAATTGCCTTTTATTTCTGTAATTGAAGAGCTCTGAAAACCAGCATTTTTGCCTCACGACCACGGGGCAGAGTGGGTCCCGAGTCCCTTCTGGAGTTCAACATGTTCAGCTCTTGTTTGCAGACATTAAAACTCATAAATCTTCATCCTGGAAAGAGCCTTTTTAGCACTTTCTGTTGCGGGCTGGGAGAAGAAAGATTGTTAAGCATGTGAGCATTGAAACAGAATTTTCATAGTGGAAACTTGTTTTATTTTCTACTTTAATGTTTTCATCCACTCTTCCACTTCCTCCTGCAGCTAACATACCCGTCCTTGACTTCAGCAGGCTCCCAGTTTGTGCTTATGTTGGTGTGGACAAAGATTTTTTTTTAGGTAAGAAATGTCAAGAATGCATTTGTGTCTCTCTCTGTTTGTGTCTTGTGCATCATTCTTCTTCCTGGGCTCTGCACATTCAAGCATGACCATGGTGTTATAGTCTGACTAGACCCCCCCTTAAAATGAATTTGATGTGTCAGGGAGACAGGTGTAATTGCCATATATTTTCCAGCACATGTTTAGGCATGCATGTGTGCCCACTTGTGCCAGTTGGGACGTGCTGTTTTCGCTATTTTCCTCTCCGGCTTGCAGTTCTAGTTCTGCTCCCCATACACAGGGAGGGCTGCAGTCCTGGTCTGCGGGGGCACAGAATGTTCCTTGATAAAGAAGCAGAAAAAGTTATTGATTTCTAAATTATTTTGCTTTTCTGAAAGCAAAATTTCTCTATTTGGTGCAGCATTTTCCAAAATCTTGAAGATTATCAGCAATACCTAGTAATGTACCTTTGCAGCAATGCTATAGGCTTTGGGAATTTTGGGATTCTTTGTTGCTCTGAACACAGCTGTAGTTGCTGTGTTAGAGGATCCCACCTTTTCCTCCGCCAAGCAGGGTTTGCAGTGTGGCTGTGCTGCACTGCCAGCCACTGGAGGGCTAAACAACTAGGGGTGTCTCCAATTATACCTATTATAGGTTTCCCCATACAAACATGAAATGAATATGCTGAAGCAATTAACTAGACTTCATAGGCTTCAGCTGGCAAGCTTTCTGGAGGCTTTTCAAATAGGCAGCAACAGTTGCTGGGTAGGCTGAGAGGGAAGTAAGCTCAGGGCATTTGTTTTGTTTAACTGGTGAGGAAGACACAGGCAAGCTGAAAGGGGAGAAGATTCATTGATCTTGTTTCACCTCAATGAAAAAAAAAAGAAAAATTTGAGACATCTCTATATCTTCTTTTGTTTCAGTGTTGCCAGTGAAGAAATTAATCTTTTCAACATCTCAATAGGATTAAAAATTTGCCCTTACTCCCTACCATCACCAAAACCTTTTTTTGGTAGGAATCAGTGAGTTGATTCTGATAACTTCTGGTTTGGCAAATAGTGGTTCTTTTGCCTGAAGAGCTGAATGAGACAACTGCTGTTTTGACAAGCAGACCAAAGCTGTCAGGCTCCTTTTCCCTGTGGGCGGCTATACTTCATGTTCCTGGTGCCAAATAATATTTGACATTTAATTTAAGACCCTCAGTGCCTGCATATAAAGCTTTACTATGATAATAGTGATAAAGTGTCTGAGTGTTGGATTTGACACTCGTTTCTTCCTCTCTCCTGGTGCATACCCATGTTCAATTTGGGCTGAAGGATATGACTTGAATTAAGCAGAGGAGGAGACTTAACCCTGAATTTTTTTTTTAATGAATTGAGGAGGCCTGACTTGAAGATAAAGATCTAACTATGATTCTTATTCTGGCTATGAGATCTTTCACTGGCTCAGTGCTAAGTTGCAAGGCAGAATTTATGCAGAAGAGAAGGAATGGGTGAGGGATAGTGTCAGCAGAATGGAAGGACCTTCTGTTTGTAATTCGTCCACATACTGTATTGACCAGTAATGCATTTCCCACAGAAAAAAAAAAAAGGCACTAATAGCATCCACAAGGCTGTGTTTGTACTGAGGAGATAACTGGATTTTTTCTGAAATCACATTGAGCTGCATCAGTGTTGATGGTGCTTTAGTCTATCCTGCAGGCAAAAGTAGGTCAGGCCAGCAGCTCCCAGGAGGAGAGGTCAGTGATGCCATAGCAGCTTGTCCCCTTTGGGGAGCACGGGCTGCACTGTTCTGGATGGGTGCGATGGAGGAGCAAATGACAGGGACAATATGTCTGTCTTTCATAAGCAGTCAAACTTGGAAAGAGCTGAGGTGGTGTGGTGGTTTGGAGCTGGCTCCCTGCCAAGTCTCCAAACCCCACTGCAAGAGCTCCCCCCCCAAAACCAAGGGAAAAGAAGAAATACCGAGAGAACCGAAATAAGAGAGAGAGAGAGAGCTATATAAAAATATATTTACACTTATGTTACATTTATATACAATTACAGAAACTATATACACATAAGACAGAAACCTCCAACACCCGAAAACAGAAAAGGGAAAGGGAAAAGGGACTAAAAAAAAAACCCAAACCGGGTATGCACACTCAATAAAGAACTAGCCAAAGAAAACCTTAATACTTTCCTTGAGGTAGCACAGTCATCCAAACGCCACCACCACACTACCAGACCCTGGATCGGCAGAAACAACAGGCCCCGTAGCCCGGCCAGGCCTCAGCCTCCCACAGGAGCGAGACCGGCTGTGGGAGTCTCCAAACCTTGCCGGAAGAGAAAAGAGGAAGAGGCTTCTCTCTCTGTCCATTTATATGTTTGATTATGTAAAGGAATAGGATGGAATACTTCCTTCCTTCCTTCCTGGTTGCCAGGAATGAAGGCCTAGACTCAAAACCATTACAGGTGGTAATGCTGGGGCCCAGGTGGTATCAAGTCAGTGGTGCATTGTTCATGTAGCTCCCTTCCTTGGTGTACTTCCACAGGCTCTCTGCAGCAGCAGGAGTTGAACCTCCTGGTGTCAGTGACTCAGGATCTTAAACACACGTGTTATTTTTCATGCCTAACACACATGCTAGCTATCCTGCCTTCTGACTGTACCCTGAGTTCTGGCAAAGGCAGGCTGATTTACTCTTTTGATCGTACAAAAGGTGGCACAGAAACAGTCCTTGTCTCAGGAGATACAGGGACAATCAGAACTGAGCTAAATTTTTTTCTCCTTTTACCTTCCACCATTTAAAAATGCCCTACTACTGGGATCAACACCAATGCTTTGTCACTTGTCTTCGCTGAGCAGTGAGAAAAAGCCATGGTGAGTCATGCTTTTAATGTGGAGATTAAAATAGTATTCATGAGTGTATGTTGGAGATAGTCCTTGTGCTACTGCTGGTAGAAAGCAATTGGGAGGTAAATTCTTACAGGATGATAAAAAATGTTT